GAGTGAGGGCAAGAGTGAGGGCAAGAGTGAGGGCAAGAGTGAGGGCAAGAGTGAGGGCAAGAGTGAGGGCAAGAGTGAGGGCAAGAGTGAGGGCAACAGTGAGGGCAAGAGTGAGGGCAACAGTGAGGGCAAAAAGCATTTGTTCGCATTTCTGACTTAGGACTTAGAAAGTGAAAGGTAAAATACAGAAATGACTTAAAATATGATATAAAAATAATTAAATTACATAACTTTGGAATTAGCTCGCGTATAACAACCGCGCATACGTTGGGTTGCAACGTTTTATTTTTCCGTTACCTTCACAAACAACGAACTGGTGTTACGTAAACAGGGCTAATGACAGTGAACGTTTGACATATTAACAAAAAATGTTTATAGATTCATGTAAATGGACCCATATTTATTATCCTTATTTCTTCATAATCGTCATTATTTTCAACATAACCTAAAGTTCACACGTTGACCAAAAACTCATCGCAAAGTACACATAGATTTAAAATATTCATATATCAACCAAATGAAATGTGTAGCTTAGTGTCCATGTGTAGCTTAGGGTCCATGTGTAGCTTAGGGTCCATGTGTAGCTTAGGGTCCATGTGTAGCTTAGGGTCCATTTGTAGCTTAGTGAATTAAAAATATTATTCATGTTTGTACGTGGAAAAAAAATAAGAAAATTTCAGCATTTCCAGATAATTGAATGCCTATGAAAAATTATGTATGACTTATAGTTAGAAAACCTATTCACTTCTGTTCTGCCACATTGAAAAATCGTTAGGGAAACATAGACATTAATGAATAAGAATAATTTTATTTATTTTTGACAACATCATGAAAGCTGTAGATTTTGAATGAAAATTTCCAATAATTTTCCCAGTAATTCAGCTGGTTTAATCCACAGTCAATGAACAAGATGTTCGATAATTAAAAATCCTTTCACATATCAATAAGTATAAATTTATTACTTTTCCATAAAAGAGAGTCTTTGCATAAAACTCAATTAAACTCTAAGAAAAAAGTGCAAAAAAAACATGTGGACATAAAGCGTGAGGGCAAGAGTGAGGGTAAGAGTGAGGGCAAGAGTGAGGGCAAGAGTGAGGGCAAGAGTGAAGGCAAGAGTGAGGGCAAGAGTGAGGGCAAGAGTGAGGGCAAGAGTGAGGGCAACAGTGAGGGCAAGAGTGAGGGCAACAGTGAGGGCAAAAAGCATTTGTTCGCATTTCTGACTTAGGACTTAGAAAGTGAAAGGTAAAATACAGAAATGACTTAAAATATGATATAAAAATAATTAAATTACATAACTTTGGAATTAGCTCGCGTATAACAACCGCGCATACGTTGGGTTGCAACGTTTTATTTTTCCGTTACCTTCACAAACAACGAACTGGTGTTACGTAAACAGGGCTAATGACAGTGAACGTTTGACATATTAACAAAAAATGTTTATAGATTCATGTAAATGGACCCATATTTATTATCCTTATTTCTTCATAATCGTCATTATTTTCAACATAACCTAAAGTTCACACGTTGACCAAAAACTCATCGCAAAGTACACATAGATTTAAAATATTCATTTATCAACCAAATATAATTTGTAGCTTAGTGTCCTTGTGTAGCTTAGGGTCCATATGTAGCTTAGGGTCCATGTGTAGCTTAGGGTCGATATGTAGCTTAGGGTCCTTGTGTAGCTTAGGGTCCATGTGTAGCTTAGGATCCATGTGTAGCTTAAGGTCCTTATGTAGCTTAGGGTCCAAGTGTAGCTCTGGGTCCATGTGTAGCTTCGGGTCCATGTGTAGCTCAGGGTCCATGTGTAGCTTAGGGTCCATGTGTAGCTTAGGGTCCATGTGTAGCTTAGGGTCCATGTGTAGCTTAGGGTCCATGCGTCAAGTCAACTGTTCATGGTCAAGTTACAGTCAAGTTATAATGTACTTCAAACTCATCACGTTTTTTTATATACCAAACTTATACTCAATATTGAGTATCATGCAATATAGCGCGGGGCATGAATCTTAATAACTTTTGACAGATAATTAACTAGTTATAAATCGTCGCGTATTATGCATCATTAGGTAAACTAAATAACTTACAACTTTTAAAGATAAAGTTATAAGTGAGAGAGCATCAGTTGCAGGCTAAACGCCGGTTATTGTCCTCAGGAAGTGCAAAGTTCGTTATTAAAGTTACCCTAAAGTTCGTCTATTTTTTTATACATATAGAAATAAAATAGAAATTTTCCCTGGGAAGAAAATACATTTGAAAGCTTATACTTATAACTACCTTACAGAAGCTCGACCGTTCATGATTACAATTATCTAAAGAATTACACGTAGTCTATTGACCTTTAATGGGGCTAATACAAAATAGGCTAAACCTACATGAATGACATCACTGTTTTATGTTTAGCCTTCCACCAAGTGCTTACAACTAACACACGTAACATTCATACACACAAACAACATTCAATAGGAACGATATACGAGGTGGCGATCGTTGGTGTTATCGGCTGTTAGTGTTGTTGTTGCTGTTGTGCTGGTGACGTCACATTATTTATCATTGATCATCCCGTAATGATTTATCGTAGAGAACATCAGTAATGACTTGTCGATAACTGCGGCTGTCAGCTGTCAGTCGTTATCGCGAAACAGCGGAAAAATAGCATTGAGGCGAACAAATTTTTTTGTACATCGTCGTGTGCGGCTAAAATAAATTTCACAACAATTTTACAACGGATGTTTAAAAAATGAAATTTGAATCGTTACCGTGAAATCGAAAAAAATTTTTTGAAATGATGTCCCAGGTGCCAAAAGAGATTTTTCTAGGCTTATCCTCTATTTTTTTGGGGGGGGGGAGGAATCTCGTTAGAAAATTGATTAAATTTAAGTTCGTCCAGAAACAGAATTTTTGTGCCAATTTAAAGAAAATTAATTTTTATTATTTCATTTTCTGTACTTATAGGCGTCACAGTGTGATATCATCAACCAGTACTGATAATTTTCATATAAACAGTCACAATTACCAAACTGTCACAGCACAACAGCATAAACCCACGATCAAACTATTGGCCGATTATCGGCGCTTCTTAGGTGGCCACCGGTCGGCCATTAATGCCTACAACAAACCGCCTCCTTTACATAAGTCACGGCTTCATGCGAGGGTTCGGGAGTCTGAACACTTTTTTACGCATCTAAATATTCTCAAAATGATTTAAAAACATTTACAGAAATTTGAAAAAAATCTAGAAAATGCGCTGGAAATTCTAATTCAATTAAAGTCCTAAACTCAAAACGGGAAAGAATGCACAGGTAAATGCTCTCTCCTGAGAAGCCTATATACACATTGTTGGAGTGTAGAGCACATTAAATATCAGCAGTGTTGATAATTAATAACGTTAGTGCGCTTTTTTCATGATTCCAACAATGCGAAGACATAATTCCTGGCATTACTTCCCCGAGCAAACATAACTTTCAGGATAAATTACCGAAGCTTCGATGGAAAAGTTCGATCGTAACTTGCACCAGCAAAATATTTTATTATTATAGGAAATTAGAATAATAACCCAGTGCACGTAACGCAATGTTTAAACATTTCATATACATAAAACTTTGGTACAACTGAAACAGTTGGTAAGTAACAATTTAGTGCAACAACCTAGTGCTCTCTTATTCTGCATCAAACTAAGGTTCTAGGAAACTCAAGCATTACTTTATACAAATTGAAAGAATACAATATCGCCTGATATTTCCACAGAAATACATACCAAAACTTATTTTTTAATCCATCCGAAGTTGAGGGAAAGTCAAACCGGTGAATAAAGTGAGTGAAAGTGACGAAAGAATTGAGTAACCCAAGTGAATAGGAAGCCTTGTGCAATAAGACCTGAGTCAGGGTCCTAAATTCATAAACAAATTCATATTAAATGAGTGAATTATTCTTTAAAGAGGGCGACACGATATATCAGTAAGCTAAATGTAGCTAGAAATTCCATGCTGAAGACTAACTCTGAATATTTCAATCATTTAACTCGAAATGAATATTTGCTTGAATTTTTCTTTTGGGAAGACATGGTGGAGTTCTTCACAAAAAATGACTGGGAGCAAAAGCAAGATGAACGATTTGGGGTTCGCTTCGATCATCTTAATCAGCTATCGAAGATACTTATTGTTTTATTTCGGTTGGTAAATGCACTGAACGTTAACAAACTTTCATTTTCACCTTCCAAAGGTTGGCATGACCATTATTTTACACAAGAAATTTGGCTTCGTTTGGCAAATTAGGCAATAAATATATTCAAGATGCCCCTCCTGAGAGGTTGGAAGAATCCCCCGTGTCGTCTGTGAGGGGGTTGGATGAAACTGATGCCGTGAAATGGGGGGTGAAGAGCCCTTGGGGTTTATCCGTATCATTGCTTATCACTGAAGTGAAATGAATACCCTTATATTCGATACCCTCAAGAGGGGGTGCGGAAATAGGAGGGTATAAACCACCGCCCTTCGAGTTCTGGTTCACAACGCATTTCCGCATGTGCTTCTCCAATGTCGATGCCACACTGAACGGCATGTCGCAGAACCTGCACCTGTACACGTCTTTGCCGATTCTGCCATGGGTTCTCATGTGCCTTGTTAGTTTAGAACTCTGAGCACACGCGTAGCTGCACAAGTCGCACTTGTATGGCTTCTCTCCCGTGTGGGACCTACGATGAACCGTCAGGTTAGAACAGTTCTTGAAAATTTTGCCGCAGTATTCACAAGTGTCATTCCTGCCTTTATCTTTCTTGGCTATAAGGGATGTCATGTGCGATCCTGGAGTCGAACTGGGACCAGGTTTCGTAAGCGTGATGGGTGAGTCTGATCCATGTTTCATCTGCTGGTCACTCAAAAGTTTCCTTTGCTGATGAAACGACGCCTCGATGTGAGGCAGACTTGGAAACAAGTCCCTTGGGATTGACCCAGAGTTGGTCAAGGAAGGCAACCACAAGTTGCCATAAATGTTAGCACTTTCACGACCGTGATTTCCTAATCGTTTTTGAGTATCGTAATGATTGTCGAATGCTCCTAACAGCGTTTGATGCGCGATATCCATCGACTGTTGACCATTGATAATTCCTTTGGCTAAATCGTCCCTAATCTTGAGGGTTTTCTCCATTCCATTGTTAAGGGAAGGGGGTTTGGCCTCTCGACTAATGGGTGGAGGAGGCGGAGGAGGAGGCAAGTGGTGCATAAGACGACTCGATTCCTTCAAAGCTTGAATATACGCTTCGCTGTAGGTGCTTATGTTAGATAATCCAAAACGGTCCATAAGCTCACCGACCACTGATTTAGGTTGGTCAATAACTTTCAATCGGTCTTTGTTCTCTGGGAAGGTGCTTGACGAAACGCTGTGTGAAGTCGGCGTGTGTGTGGGTGTTGGTTTAGACGTCGACAAATCTTCCGGTGCATCATCGTTCAATTCTTCCCTGTTCTCATCGTCGATACTGTCTGTGATCGATGGATTAGAATCTTCATCGTCGTCACAATCTTCGACATTCTCGATATCTTCATCACAATCTTCTTCCTCTTCTTCAATGACGTCTTCGTCAACCTGTGGTCGTGATGAGTCGGGTGACGTGCTGTTTTCACTCGAAACTTTTCTGTGTGTCCTCATGTGAGACCTCACCATCTGGGGTGTGGTCAGCACTTCGTGGCATCTATAACATCTGAAGTTTCGTTCCCCGGTGTGGACTCTTTGGTGCATCACCAGATTGCACTCCCATCGGAACCTCCTGTGGCAGAGGTCGCATCTATAGGCTTTGTCGTTGTTCAAGCTGCCGTTTAGGTCATCTCCTCTCGAGGACGTGGGAGTTTGAGAAGGTATAGGTGTGGAGGGAGTCGAGGGTGTTGGACCATAAGGGGAAGTAAACGGAGGAGTAGGTAGAGTTTTCCTCGGGGACGTAGAACTTGTGGGGCTTGTTGTCCCGGCCAGTTGACGTAACCGATGAGAGTAGAATTCAACGTTTTGATCAGCGGAGCATGACGTTGGGGTGGTATTCATGCTGCTGGTGCTGATCATGATGTTGCCAGACTGACTGGCGTTTGAGGTGTTGGTGGTAGCTGTAATTCCTGCAGGATTTACGGGCTTGAGCGACGCAGGAGTGGTAGAGCCCAGCCCGGCGTCAAGAAAGGGCTGCCGGTCAAAATGTGGAGGTAGCAGTCCTGGGTTCAGACGCAGTCCTTCCTGCAGGAGTTGGTCCATACGAAAGTCGTGCCCAGGGCGCACGAAAGGAGGCGCAATGCCCGGAGGAAAGGGAGTCCTTCCGTCTAGAGGCATCCTCAAGAGGTTGAATGGGTGGTTAGGGTCGAGAAGCGGACTCGGAACAGAGCCATGAGTTTGCAAACCCGAAGAAACTGAAGAGTTCGGCAAACCAATTTTGTTGAAGTCCATTTTGGAGAGATCAACTTTGGTGATATCTACTTTGGTTAGGTCAACCTTGGTGGGATCGAGGAGTGACATATGATGGTGGGGGGAGTGGGCTGAAGGAGTGGTGGCGGTGGACGATACTGACGCCAGCGGTGATGAATATGATGGCTTGGGTGGAGCAGGTGGAGTGATTGGTGTGGTAAGTGGTGAGCGAGACAGGTCTTGGTAGATTAGGATACCGTGTAGGGACTGGACGTGTTGTACAAGAGACCACGCGGAGCTCATCACAACACCACACGTCCCGCACACGCAGCGGCTCGGCTCTGCAACGAAAACAAACAACATTAATATTTGTAAGTATTTTTAAAAGGCAGGATTAATTTGTTACCAACGATTGGCCATGTGCAAAAGGGACGTCAGCAGGTCAAACCAGAATGGGCTTTGTGTCAAAATATAAATAAATTATAACATCATTGTTGTCTAATTTACCGGCAAGTAAAATTATGTAGAGAAGTTTGAAGAGTATTAACGTACCAACATGAAATAAAAGGCACAAATTCAAGGAAAATGCCAACTAATTAACAAAAACGTATTAGAAAAGGTTTGTGTATATATATATGTGCCACCATTTGACGTATATCATTTACTAAGTCTTACCTAAAGCCTATCACAATGAACTACCAACTCACAATTTCATTTAGAAATTGTAAATTGAAATTGTGCATGGAAATGAAAAGAAATAGAAGGGTTGCATATAAGAAAAGAAAAAAATAGACAAAAATGCTAAAAGAATAATGATAGAAATAATGGTACCTCTGATTATTCTTAAAATTAATTTTAACGTCTAACATAAGCTTAAATTCAACATAAAGGTTAGTAAGAAGCCTGGAATAAATTTACCGTTTTGCAGTAGACATTTCTTGAACGTAACTTCGATATTCAAGCAAAAACTACTTCACAAAATAATTTCGTGCCTCGCAATATCATTTCCTACATCAAATTATTACTACATAACAATATCATCCCATCTATCAAAATATCGTTCATACACACAATATCATTCTATACATCACAATAACATTCCATACACACAATATCATTCCATACATCACAATATCTTCCCATACATCACAATATCATCCAATATATAACAATATCATTCCATTGTATCATACATCGCATTACGCACAATATTATTGCCCAGTTTAATAAAGCTTCGTTTCATTTCTTCACTCCTGGGCCGTATGGCTGAGGCCTAAACCTGAGCTCCCGTAAACAATTCCCAATAAACAAGCGTCGGGAATGGACGGCATTCCTGATACAGCATTCCCGGCATCGGGAATCCAAGGACCGTCCACTACCGCTGCAGAAAAACGGGACCGTGTCGGGTAACGGGACCGTGTCGGGTAACGGGACCGTGTTGGGTAACGGGACCGTGTCGGGTAACGGGACCGTGTCGGGTAACGGGACCGTGTCGGGTAACGGGACCGTGTCGGGTAACGGGACTGTGTCGGGTACCGGGACCGTGTTGGGTAACGGGACCGTGTTGGGTAACGGGACCGTGTTGGGTAACGTGACCGTGTTGGGTAACGGGACCGTGTTGGTACAAAGACGTATAACGTAAGACGTGTGGTAACGGGCCACAAAAGGACGTACAACATAAGACGTATAACGTAAGACGTCTCATTTGTGAAGCAATGGACGACGTCGGGACGAAGTTGGCCACGGGCGGTGGCGCCCAGGGACGCTAAGTAATCAGCGTGTGGGGCGGTGGGGCGTAATCATGTGTATAATTCATATATATATATAAATAATCTACACATTATTTGTGTGATAATAATGGGCAGCAGCAATGATAGTGATTGATTAAATATTATATGATTTTCACTCCATGAAGTTTGTTATAATTAATTTATCATAATTAATCAACGTGTGATAATACTTCATGAATTATATATTTTTGTGCTCGGCTTCCAGCCGAGCACAACCAGGGTAATAAATTATGGGAGGGTTATGGGAGGCCAAATAGCCGGTAGCCGACACCACACTGTGGTGCTGTCACCACACTGTGGTGCAGTCACCACACTGTGGTGCAGTCACCACACTGTGGTATATAAGAATTAACGGTATAGCGATATAATACAAAAATATATAATAAAAAATATAAGAGTTAACGGTATAGCGATATAATACAAAAATATATAATGAAAAATATGTGAATTAACGGTATAAATGAATGAATGAAAAGTGAATAAGTTATGTATACCGTTACGTTAAAATACAAAAATATATAATAAGAAATACTTAGATAAACGGTATAAATGAATGAATGAAAAATGAATAAGTATGTATACCGTTACGTTAAATACAAAAATATATAATAAAAATAAATCAATGAACGGTACAAATGAATGAATGAAAAGTGAATAAGTATTTATTTCGTTATGTTAAAGGTGAATATGGACTTAATATTGCACAAAAGACGTTAGAACAAAAGACAGATGTGGAACGCTCGTAAGTTAAAATATTATTTAAATAATAATTATATGCAGGGTAACTAAAGAACAAATATTCCGTTATGCAGTGAAAGTATCTTTGTGCAGAATAGTTAATAAAGTAATATTCATGAGCAGAGAAATATTTAAAATGATGTTATTTATGAATGATTAAGAATGATACAGTTTTTTTCTCAAATAATATTAATTTCGAAACGTTTAATTTAATTTAAATAAATGATTGTAGTGAATTACACTAGTTACAGTACTACAAATTTTTTATACGTCATGCAATCATGAATTACGAGGCTTGATTTTGTCATCAGTTTGATTAAAATCAACCCACGATCAGAGGTTGTGTTATCTGTGTATTTACATGCAAATTGCCAGTAGGAGGGAGGGGGGACAATTTCAAGAGAAGGGGGAGGGCTGGGTCTATTTTGATGATATGAGAGATAGAAAATTTAAACTTCAGCTAAATGCTGTCATAGATTCACGTTTTCTATAATAATAATCACTGTTAATGAAAAGTCTTCGAATCTGTCGTAAACAATCGTGGGAAAACATATGAAGCGTTTGATAGTAAAATTTAATTTAGACATCGAAACAGTAATTTTTACTCACATTCATCAAAATGAGTGAGTTAATCATTCAGCATGTGTGTGCGTATACATACACATCTATACGTATACGTACTCGTATACATGTAGACACGTATATAAGAAACATATAAATACACGAAGACACACCGCAAAATGCCGTTATCTAAACGTATTAATACATATTTTTTTGGCCATCATCAATCGCGATGATGGACGTTTTATGGCCACCGGCGCCACTCATTAGCGGCCAAGGGGCGGACAATGCACACTGATGGCCATGGCCAAAAAAGCCACTGGCGGCCATCAAAGTCATCAGTCACTGCCTTGCCCAGATTTATTTCTGTGTGTGTCACACAAAACTTATGTGTGGACACACATACCATATACATTTTTTTATGTTATACATCTCTTATTTATAAAAATAGTCATTCATATTCATTTCTGCATGTCATTTCTATATCAACTAATTTGCAAGGTTAGTTCACTATACCGCTCGAAGAAGTGAATTGAATGCATCGTTAGCATGGATGCAGGAATGTGCGTTCATACATAATACAGATGTTCAGATAAATGTGTACAATACAGCAATAAAAAAAGAAAAAATGAGCACTGATGACGCCTGTAGATCGAGAAAAACATATATCCATAGAGACCAATTATATACATTATTGATATACGTACACATAAAAATATATACGTATCCAGAAAATTTCGGAAACCTGACAAATCCAAGAAATAAAATCGAGGCAATTATAATCGATAATAAAATGTGATCTAGCGCCAAATTTTCTTGATATTCCTCATACGAAAAAACATGATATTTATTAGAAATGATTTGGTGTTACTTGCATTTTAATTGGCGTGCCAGTCGAAGCTGCCAATTAGACTTAACGATCGCCGTGTGAGGTCGTCAGGTCAACCTAACAACCTGACGAGCCACGCGACAAATTTAATGACTTCAGAAGTTACAAGTTTCACAAAACTGAAAAAAATTCGAATTCATTGCGAAATTTTCTTAATTTTAGCGGAGATTAAAAATTTAAGGAAAAACGGTGGTTTTTATTTCTTTATTGCGGTGGCGGTGGCGGGCGATGTGGCGGGCTGCTAATCAC